CAAATGCAGCCGAAACCCTTGTGCATGTGTTTGTCACATCTCACCTGGATTACTCCAACCCACTCCTCGCTGGTCTACCCAGTTCCACCATTCACAAGATTCACAAGCATACTGACCTGGACCAAACTCCATCCCCACGTCTCACCAGTTCTGGCCCAGGCTCCACTGGCTTCCCATCACTGAACGTGTCGACTTCAAGATCCTCACTCTCGTGTTCAAATCCCTTCCCTCCCTGACCCCCTCACTCCCCAATCCAGCACCGGGCGCCTCAGCTCGACTTGGACAGGTTCCTGCTCGTCCCTCGCACCCTCCGCCCCATCATCAGAGGTCGTACTTTCAGCCACTGCGCTCCAAAACTCTGGAACCCTCTCCCTCAATCCCTCCCCCTTGCCCCCTCTCTCCCCTTTTTCAAGACCCGCCTGAAAAGTTTCCTGTTTGACTGCGCTTACGGCCAACTCCCCCTTCCCCACGGCTTGGGAGTTAAGCTCTGAGACGCTACCCTGCGTAGAGGGTGCTATATAAGTGCAAGTTATTGTTGCTTTGTTCCACACCTGAGGTGCTTCCAAGTGCACAGAAACACTGAAATCACAGTTTGTTTTTCTCTGCAATTAATTTATTGTGACAGTAAAACTTGACCATCTAATTCTCCCACTCCATCCGAAAATTGATGTTTCTTGACAAATTAAGTTTCCAGGACTGAGTGTCAGCCTGGCACACTGGGTTCACAACTCTTGAATTAAGTCATTTTTTTTGAATCAGAAGGTTGTGGATTCAAGCCCCATTAACTGAAATGCAGTGTTTCAGATGAGATGTTAAACTGCGGTTCTCATCTGCCTGCTCAGGTGGGCAAGCAAAATTGTCTGGAACGTGTCTCCTGGTGCCTGGCCAACAATCCTCCCAATAAATTGATTATTCCTCTCAATGTGGTTTGTGGACATTCACTGCCACAAAATGACTGTCATATTTGTCTACAAAATAGTCACAACATTTGATAATAATTACCTGTGAAGTTTTGCAATGTTTTGACATGATAAGGCACGATCAAAAGGCAATTCAAGTCCTCCCTTACATGTTATAATAATAGAAAAATAATCCTTGTATTTGATATAGTGCCTTATGACGTCTCAAAGTGCTTCACAGAATATAGTGTGAAGTGAATTGACTGTGTATTTTGTGAACAAAACGTGGCTGTCAATTGCACACAGAAGCGTCCCACAAACAGCCATGGATTGAGTGACTAAATTATTATTTTTATTTTTTTGATGAGATTATCATCCCTTGGAAAAGTGATCTACTAATCGACTAACACCCGAGTTCCTACTTACTGCTAGGTAAACAATGGCGTGTGGAGTAATGAAAGTTACCTAACATTTTGCCCTGCCGGGAATTGAACCCAGGTCCTCTCACTTGCGAGGTGGGTGCTCTAACCACTGAGCTACAGAATGTTACCTTAGAGGGAAATATTGATAGCTCACCATCGATCAGAGGTGTCCTTGACGTGTTCTCAACAACACAATGGATCTGAATGGAAAATCATTGACCCTCTCCCCCAGGTTCATTTGTCCTTCACATTTAAACAACGCATAGTCCTTACAGAATTTTCCTGCAAACCATCACACTCACAATACCTAATGATGCAGAGGCAGGAAAATTACAATTTCCATAATATCAGGTACAGGTGAGAGCCCAGTTCCCCAGAACTATGTGTGAAGCCCAATTCTTCTCTCATAGCAACATAAGGGAGGAAGCCACTCAGCCCCTCGAGCCTGTTCTACCATTCTATAAGATCATGGCTGACCTGTACCTCAAGGCCAATTGCTTTGAGTAGCTATGTATTAGGGATAACATCATGGCACTAGAAAAAAGGGAAATAGCCATTAGTAAGATAAAAACAGAATCTGTGTGGATAGAGATAAAAGATAAGAAGGGATCAACCACACAAATAGGGGTACTGTACAGACCACCTAATAGTGGAAGGGAGGTAGAGGAAGAAATGTGCAAGCAAATTAGGGAAATGAGTAAAAGACATAGAGTAATAATCATGGGGGATTTCAATACCCCTAAATAAATTGGCTAGAAGAGGTAGGTAAAGGGGATGAGGGAATGGAGTTCCTTCAATGTGTAGAGGACTCCTTTCTTACCCAGTATGTAAGAGGCCCAACAAGGGAGGAATCGCTGCTGGATTCAGTAATGGGAAATGAACCAGAGCAGGTAAGAGAAGCACGAGTAGGGGAACATCTAGGCAATAGGGCAATAGATTGGGGATAAAAAGCTGATTTTGAGGGGATGGGAATGGAACTTGGGAAAATCAACTGGAAAACAATATTGGCAACAAAGAGATAGAGCAGCAATGGTCAACGTTTAAAATGGTGATCAATAGAGTCCAGGAGAAACATATTCCGCTAAAAAACAAGATAATGCTAAACAATAATGAGACACCAGATGAATAAAGACATATGGCAAAGTTGAGACTCAGGAAAGAAGCGTTCACTAAGTATATAAACAACAAGGGAGAGTATGACAAAAAACAATATGAACAGCTTAGGAAAGAAGTCAAAAAAACATTAGGAGGGCAAAAAGGAACTATGAAATTACATTATCAAGGCAGGGGGTGGGCAGTGGTGTTCCACAATGATCAGTATTGGGACCCACTGTTGTTCACATTATACATTAATGATTTGGTCTCTGGGATCAGTTGTACAATTTTAAAATTTGTGGACGACACCAAATTGGGGGAATAGTTAATACAGAGGAGGACGGCAACAAATTACAGCAAGACATTAATAAACTTGCTGAGTGGGCATTTAAATGGCAAAGTGTGAGGTTTTGGTAGAAGGAATAAGGAGGTCACATACATCCTGGAAAATGAAAACCTAAATGGTGTAGAGGAGCAAAGGGATCCAGGGGTACACATACACAATTCAATAAAAGTAGCAACGCAGGTTAATAAGGCCATAAAAAAGGCAAACCAGGCATTGGGTTCATTTCTAGAGGGATAGAAATAAAAAACAGGGAAGTTCTGGTGAACCTCTATAGAACCTTGGTTAGACCACACTTAGATACTGTGTGCAGATCTGGTCCCCACATGTCGAGGCCCTGGAGAGGGTGCAAAGGAGATTCACAAGGTTGATCCCAGAACTGAGAGGTTATACCTATCAGGAAACACTGAATATACTTTTTCTCTTGAAAAGAGGAGGGTAAGGGTTGACCTGATAGAGGTCTTTAAAATGAGGAAAGGTTTGGATTGAGTAGACATAGGGAAGATGTTTGTGGGGAGACCAAAACCAGAGGCCATCAATATAAAATAGTCACAAATAGATCAAATAGGGAAGTTAGAAGACATTTCTTCACACAGAGAGCAGTGGGAATATGGAACATGCTACCGCAAGGAGTAGTTGAGGCAAATAGCAAAGATGTATTTAAGGGAAGCTGGAGAGGTACATGAGGGAGAAAGGAATAGAAGGTTCTGCTTGAGGCTTAGTTGAGGAAGGGCAGGAGGAGGCTCATGTGGAACATAAACACCGGCGTAGACCAGTTGGGCCGAATGGCCTGTTTCTGGGCTGTATATTCTAATGTGCCCTAATATATACCCGCCCTTGCCCCGTATCCCTCTCACTCTCTTCTCTCAAATCGAAAAGTAGTCTGTTCAATAAATTTTGAACCAATTAATATATTTCAGTGGCACCAGTTTGATGGATCACATGACTGGTCTCCAGATTGCAGGTTATTAAAAAGTAATTGTGCTTTATTTTATAAATCAAAATTTTATACTGTTCAGCCATGATCTCAGAAGTACAGTCCGTGCAGCCACACAAGCCATTGAAGTGTGCTTTCATTTCCTCGTCTGTAATGTCACCTTCCACATAGCAAACCATACACTGCTAACTTCACTTTTTAAATAGAGCGGACTCCCTATGGAGACAGATTTCTGCTAGAAAATAATACCTCGGGATACAGTATATAGTTTGGGACACGACATGTCAAGCGACTGCCAGGTTGGTGGAAGGCGAACTAGATAACAACCAGGTTCGACTGAGCCAACTCCCTGCTTGTCGGCCTCCCCGACTCTTCCCTCCACAGGCGGCAGATCATCCAGAACTCTGCAGCCCGTGTCCTCTCCCGCACCAGGCTCCGTGACCCCATCACCCCAACCCTCTCCTGGGTCTACTGGCTCCCCATCTGGATAGAGTTCAAAATTCTCATCCTCATCTTCAAGGTCCTCCACGGCCTTGATCCCTCCTACATCTCTGACCTGCTGACCCCCTATCAACCTGCCCGCTCCCTCTGGTCAGCAGGCTCCGGGCTGCTCCATGTCTCCCGCCCGGCCGACCCCACCATCGGCAGTCGGGCCTTCAGCCTCTCAGCCCCGAGGCTCTGGACTCTATCCCCCAGTGCCTTCGCCGCTTCCTCCCTTTCCTCCTTCAAGGCCGGTCTCAAGACCTTTCTCTTCAACCGTGTCTTCAGCTCCCCTCTCAACTCTCTACCCCTTCCTCACTCCCTCCCATCCCTCCCCTCACCCTGACCATTTCCCCCCTGCTCGGGTCCTGACCCAACTGTCCAGCACCTTGGGACGTCCTTCCGACATGAAAGGCGCTTTATAAATGCAATCTTGTTGTTGTTGTTCTTATGTTCTTTAGCATGTCCTTGACATATTGCTCTGTGCTGGTCTGTCGTCCTCTTTCTGGTTGGGGTTGGTGTTCCCTGGGTTTTGGTTGCCCTCCGTTATCTCACAAAAGTGGTCATTAGTTATGTGTGCTTTCCAGTGATTGTCAGCAGGTCATTTGACCCTAGAGATGACCACACTCCCCACCCGGCTGCCACCCACGTACGTGGCTAGTAGAGGGTGCTGCAGAGGGAAGGAGTAGGAACTCTGAGAAGGCTGTGGTCAGGTTATCTTCTCTATGCAGTTCCAATTGAGACCAACAACGGAGCACAGCCCAGCGAGCTCCTGGTCACTGAGTTACAGCTCCGTGCACTGCCCCATTAGGGCGGCACCACATGGAAACCTGTAGCTCAGTGGTTAGAGCACTCGCCTCGTAAGCGAGAGGATCTGGGTTAATTTCCCAGCAGGGCCAAACGTTGGGCAAGTTTCCTTACTTCACACACCTCTGGTTACCAGCAGTAAGTAGGAACTCGGGTATGAGTCAATTGGTGGATCACTTTTCCGGGGGCAATAATCCCTTCAAAAAGATAATAATTTGGTCACTCAATCCACGGCAGTGTGTGGGACGCTGCCGTGAGCAATTGGCTGCTGTGTTTCGCCCACAAAATATACAGTCAATTCACTTTACAGTGTGTTCTGTGAAGCGCTTTGGGATGTCCTCCTGACATGAAAAGCCTATATCAAATGCAAGGATTATTATTATTATCATTATTATTTACAGTATATTCTGTGAAGACGTTTGAGACGTCTCGAAGACGTGATAAGGCGCTATATCAAATGCAAGGATTACTATTATTATATATTATTAGGTTATAAAGACGTGGGGACTGAGTATCCAAAGTGAAATTGGTTGGGGACATTGTATTCACTTGTAACCCAGTGTTTGCGACCCCAGCCCACAATAATTAGTACTGTGACTCAATGTTTCCTCACTGCTGTTATATGTTGGTTGTCTATTTTTTCAGTAATGACCATCTAATCATTAAAGAATTTCTCAAGTGCTCAACAAGTCCATAGAAAAGTTCAAAGCGGTTTGTTTTCACTAAATATGATAAATTGCTCCTGTAGAGCTGTAATAATATGCAAGAAAGGCAAGGTTTTTTTTTACTGTTTTTTTCAACAAAAAAAATTGCCAAAATATACAAAAGGAAAAGGCTAAGGTAGTGCTGTCAGATTGTACATCACTCTCGTATATGAAGGAAGCGTGTCTCTGAGTGCCATGGGAATATTTGATCCTCTGTGAATTGTGTGTGAGCAGGACCAAGGGGAAGCCTAGCTCAGTGACTGGCTCAACATTAGGCTGGTGACAACAACAATGACAACAACAACTTGCATTTATATAGAGCCCTTCACACTGGACGACGTCTTGGAGAGCTTCCGTGTCACAGGGATCGAGCTGTAAGCAGCACTGAGTGATTCAAATTAGGACCAGGCTCTGGGTGACAATGGGGAACACTGGGTGGCAGATCTATAATAATCCGCGCATTTGATATAGCGTCTTATCACATCTTCGAGACGTCTCAAAGCGCTTCACAGAATATACTGTAAAGTGAATTGACTGTATATTTTGTGGGAGAAACGCGGCAGCCAATTGCGCACAGCAGCGTCCCACAAACAGTCGTGGATTGAGTGACCACATTATTATTTTTTTTGAAGGGATTAATCCCCCCAGAAAAGCGATCCACCAATCGACTAACAACTGGGTTCCTACTCACTGCTAGGTAAACAGAGCCGTATGGAGTAAGGAAACTTGCCCAACATTTCGCCCTGCTGGGAATCGAACCCAGATCTCTTGCTCTAACCACTGAGCTACAGGCAGTAAAATGTATAAAGCTGTCATCTCACGGTAAGGTTCATTTTGAACAAAATTGTTCTGACTGTAGGACATCCTGTGATGAACTGCCTGTTGTTTCTTAACATTTAAATGATGGATTTATGACTTGGAGCAGCTGCCGTCATCAACAACCCAAATCATAGAATATCACAGCACAGAAGGGGCTTTGGAAGAGCGACCCAATCAATCCCACTCCCCCGCTCTTTCCCCATATCCTTGCAAAGTTTTTCCTCTTCAAGGAGCTATCCAATTCCCTTTTGAAAGTTGTTAATGAAACTGTTTCTACCAGCCTTTCAGGCGGTGAGGAATGGTTTCTTTGGCTAAGGTGGGTGCTGTATTCTGGAGTTACTCAAATGCGAGTTATTGAAAATTAAAGTCTTGCAACTTGTTGTTTACTCTGGGAAAGCGTGAGGTGTGGTAAGGGTAGCGATGTGTTTAATGTCTGCCTGAAAGACTCCTTTGATTCTCAGCTATCTTCCCACCCTCCGTGAAAATTACTAAGAATAATGTGAAGCACCTCTTAACTTTCATCTAGAATCTGCAGTAAATTTCATTTACTTTTTAGAACCCAGAAGCAGGCAGCTATTTGCAGATTATTGGACATTATTAATTTTGTTTAATCACTTGCCCTTTCTCTGCTTGACACAGTGGCATGACAGGACTGATTTATTTATTATCATTGATAATAACTCACTGTGATTTACATCAATCATTTATTATCAAGTAAGAAAAGGCTCATAACAATGTTTACTTCAAAAACTCTAACAAAAGATTAATTATTTAACTACTGTGTTAAATTCATGCATGGTTAGTTTTTAATAGTTCTTTTGAATTGCTCTGCACTACTGTTCTATGCTATACTCTGACAGTGAATTTTATGCTGGTACAGATGTGGTTTTTTTGTGATCTGTTTCAAATGCTTATTTTTCCAGTAATGTTTGCCACATGAACACTAATGAGTGAGTGCATAATGATCAAGACTGGGGGTTAGATGTACAGAAAGTATACACATCGACAGTGAACTTTGAAAGCATATCCAAACTGCATTTCTTCATTGCAAATGTATGTTGGCCACTGGGAATTATAAGGGAAAAAGCATTTGATACAGTGCCTTATCACGTCTTTGACACATCTCAAAGCACTTCACAGAATATACTGTAAAGGGTATATTTTGTGGGCGAAACATGGCAACCAATTGCACACAGCAGTGTCTCACAAATAGTCGTGCAAACAGTGGATCAGTGTTATTCAGTAATGGGCAAACAAGTAGGAAAGAGGGGACCGTCAAAGCTGCTGGTTGTGTGCATATTGAGTGGTCTACTAAACAATGAGCAGAACCCATCCGCAATATCGATCTCTCAGCATCTCTTGCTGGTTTCCCTGAAAACACTGAAATGCTCACTGAGTGACAGGCTCGTGGTCTAGCTCAGGCCACCCATCAGGCCTCTTTGGCTCACAGGATTGAGTAGATGTCGATTCCTCCACATTTGAGTGAGTGAGTGAGTGAGTGGGTGGATTGATGCTGGAAATCTGAAATAAAGAAAGTAGTCACTGGGAACACTCAGCAGGTCAGGCAGCATCTATGGGGAGAGGAAAGTGACCAAAGGTCATCGACCTGAAACATTAGCTCACTTTACTATCTCCGTGGATGCTGCCTGACCTGCTGAGTGTTCCCAGCCACTTCTGTGTTTTATTCTTAATTTTGAAGCTGGTTTCTGCAATTCTTAAAATAAGTTCTAAAATGCTAAGTGTAGATCCAGGTGGAATCCCCCCACCCCACTCCTCCTCCCTCACCTCCCCACTCCCACCTCAAGCCAGCTCAGTCTCAGGATATTGTACACAATTTATTGATTTCCAAAGAGGGAAGGGTTGGGAAGATTGGCCAGGATTCAAACCTGAAACATTCTGTTTCACCTCAACGGACTGAGGGCAACTACACTTCTCTAATAATAAGGGAGGGGTTACCATCCTTTTTTTTGATCAGCCAGGTGTCTAACGCATACGGAAATCCATCACTGTGCTTAAAGAGTATCCAAACCAAGCTGACAATTCCAGGCATCCCATCTCCACAAGGAAATCCCAGAGACAGATTGTTGGAATGGAATGCGCTCTCTCTCCCTGGAGAGACACATCCTGCTCACCCAATTCCAGAGAGTATTAGGCGCAGGTTGGTAAGTGCCAAGGCTTGGGGACCCCAGAGTGTGTGTTGGGGTAACTGCTGGAGTCTAACCAGCTAAAAGCACATAGTTTACCATTGATATCACTGTCTGGCCAGCTTTCCCACTGCTTGTCCAGCTAGAGACCACCCTCCCCGTTACAGCTTTGGCTGCAGGATTAACAGGAATGAGTGGAATGATTCCCTGCCCCCAGTGACTGGTCGGCCCTTCCAGGTCCTGACGATGAGCCAGGCTGGGCTGGGCTGTCATCAACAGTGCCCTGGAATACTACGGACCTGCTTGGCTCAGGTACCGGACTAGAGATCGTCACAGAGGCCTGGCTCGATTCCGATATTCTGTTGTCAGGCATGTTTCCGTGGGGCCAGCTCAGCTCCAAGGAGACTCCGATTACCTCCCCCCCAAGAAGGATAGTCATTAGTTGATTGTTTGACACCCAACAAGCATGGGTTTGAGCGTCACTAGGTGACTGATCCCACCTGCACATGGAAATTCCTGCCTGGAATGGAATTCTCACTCTCTCTCGCTCTCGGGAGGGATGCATTCTGCTTACCTAATTCCAAAGAGTATTAGGTACCGGTTAGCAGGAACCAAGACTTCTTAATCCTGAGTGAGTTCTGTGAGTATCTGCTGGAATTTAATCAGCTAAAACTGCATAGCTTGCCATTGAGAACACTATCTGGCAAGCTTCCTGCTGCTTGTCCAGCGAGAGCCAGTCGACCCACTAGGGCTTTGGGTTGCAGGTTAACAATATAATTTACATTTATATCGTGCCTTGGACATTGGAAGGATGTCTCAAAGCAGTTAAATAGGATGAGTAGGAAGACTCCTGCCCCCTGATTGTTCTGCTCCTCCAAGTCCTGCTGCTGAGCTGGACAAGTTGATCTGTCATCAGCAGTGCCCTGGAATACTGCAGAGCTGGCTGCACTTACCCCACTTACCCCCCTCCTGGTCCCCGCCCACCCCCTGAACTTGATCTCCCCCCCATCTGACCCCCTTCCCCACCCCGTGGTTGGTTTGCAATATATTGAATACCAATGCACTTCCTCAGGTTCAGCAAATAAGTAGGAAAATATCAACCATCCTAACACTAAAATGCCCTCAGTGACTGTCTCTGGAATCATTTTACTTTTAATCAATTGAAAGCATATCACTTGTCTGCAGAGAAACCACTGATCAGCAATCTGCTGTAATTCACAGACAATTTCCCAATTTGCCTCCAATAAACAATGGTGCTGATTGCAGCTACATTTCTGATTCTACTTGAGAGAGACAAATCACAACTTGCTAAAATGTAGATTCTTTTCCAATCACAACAGAGGAAAATCCATCTGGAGTCCAGTAGCTCAGTGATTAGAGCACTTGCCTTCCAAAAGAGAGGACCTGGGTTTGATTCCCGGGCAGAGCGAAACATTGGGCAAGTTTCCTTACTCCGCACGCCTCTATTTACCAGCAGTCAGCAGGAACCCGGTTGTTAGTCAATTGGCGGATCGCTTTTCCAAAAAAAATTAAAAATAAAAATGATTTGGTCACTCAATCCACGACTGTTTGTGGGACGCTGCTGTGTGCAATTGGCTGCGCATTTCGTCCACAAAATATACAGTTCACTACACTTTACTGTATATTCTGTGAAGACGTATGAGACGTCTCGAAGACGTGAGAAGGCGCTATATCAAATGCAAGGTTTATTATTATCTGTTTCCAGAGGATGAAGGAAGGTTTTTAATAACAAATCATTTCATGTAAAAGAGGAACATTTTGTATTATAGCACACTTCACCTTGGAAGGACATCTTCAAGGAATTCACAGGAATGACTGTGAAGTGTAGCAGCCAATTTTCCAATGTCCTTCCTACAAGCTGCCATGAAGTGAATGGCCAGTTTTGTCTGGGGGAATGTTAGTCAGAACACTCAGAAAAAACTTCCTTCTCTTTACAAATAGTGCCATTGGATTTTTAATGTCCATCTAAATAGACAGAGGGGATCTGAAGGATGGCATTTCCAACAATGCAACAACAACAAATTAAATTTGTGTAGAGCCTTTCACATCAAATGCAGCACTGTATTGGAGTTCAGCAAAGATCTGGTGTGGGGGCTTGAACCAACAAGCAAGAGTGCTACCAGCTGAGCCAGCCTGATAATTGTTTCACAGTAATAATAATAACAATCCTTGCGTTTGATACAGCACCTTATCATGTCTTCGAAAAGTCTCAAAGCGCTTCACAGAATATACTGTAAAGTGAATTGACTGTATATTTTGTGAGTGAAACCCAGCAGCCAAGTGTGCACAGCAGCGTCCCACAAACAGTTGTGGAATGAGTTACCAAATTCTTATTATTAAGAATTAATAATGTGGAGTCCTGTAGCTGAGTGCTTAGAGAACTCGCTTTGCAAGTGAGAGACCTGAGTTCAATTCCCGGCAGAGGGCGAAACCTTGGGCAAGTTTCCTTACTCCACACAGTAATGATAATTCCTCCAAAACCAAAAACAATAATAAAATTGGTCATTTTCAATCTACGACTGTTTGTGGGACATTGCTGTGCGCAATTGGCTGCCGCGTTCGCCCACAAATATACAGTCAATTCACTTTACAGTGTGTTCTGTGAAGCGCTTTGGGACGTCCTCCCGACGTGAAAAGCGCTATATCAAATGCAAGGATTATTATTATTATTATTATTTTGTTTTTTGAAGGGATTTCCCCTAGGAAAGCGATCTGCTAACCAACTAACAACCAGGTTCCTACTTACTGCTGGTAAACAGAGGTGTGTGGAGTAAGGTAACATGCACAACATTTCGCCTGTTGGTAATTCGGAATCAATTTGCAATCAAAGAAAGAATTTAAATGACAGCTCCCGCCGAGGACAATTTACACTCTAGTTTAAGTTGTAACACTTAAAACCCTTAAAGACCTTTGAAGTGAGCAACAGACACACCATTTGGAACAAACCGTGAAGAGTAAACGCATTTTCCTCAAATCCAAGATAATTCTCTTAACTCTCTGGATAAATTGCAAAACAAGATTGTGGTTGAGCTGGTGTTGCTGCTGCTCACACCGGCTCTAGAATATGAACTGCTTATTTTAATCAATGTTCCTGCCTCCGACACCTCTTCTGATCTTTACTATCGACCTTCAAAACTTCAAACAACCCACTCTACAGACTGGGAGCTTCACACAGGGGTTCATCATCTTAACTCATTATTTTTCCCACTGTAGAACTTGTCCCCCATCTCTTCCCCTCCTCCCTCCTCCTCCTCCTCCTCACCCTCTCCTCCCCCTCCTCTTCCTCCCACCCTCCTTTCCCCCTCTCCCCTCCCTCACCAGTCTTCTCTTCATTAGGCAACTATACAGCATATATTATTTGCACACTTGCATTAATGGACCAGTTCTTTCTAATTCCACTCTCTTTTGAATGTTGCTGGTGATGTGAGCTGTGGAAGTTTAACCCTTCTGCTAGGATTGATTATAAAATAGAACCATAGAATATCACAGCACAGACGGAGGCCATTCGGGCCATTGTGCCTGTGCCGGCTCTTTGGAAGAGCTACACAATCAGCCCCACTGCCCCGTTCTTTCCCCATAACCCTGCGAGTTTTTCCTTTTCAATTATAAGTTATAAAAATAATTAATAATAATTACAAAAAATGATTGCTGTAAAATAATTCTACTTGGACCATGTGAGAAATCTGAAGCTGACTGATCCCTCTGGACTGAGAATATGTTCTTAGCACAAAAGGCAGTTTCCACTCCTCCTGTTATTTCAGCTTTACCAGCTTTAACCCCACTCACTGCCCCCACAGGTTTATTCAGCACATTATGCTCACTAAAAACAGCCATTAACTTGAGTGTTTTATAAGGGAAGCAGCACCAAATAAAACTCTGCTGAAAACAACAGTCTTGCCCATTATGTGGACCGTATGTCCCTTTAGATTCAGATGTCACACCATTTCATTTAAAAAAACAAAATATTTGATGTACAATATAATGCAAAATTACATTTACACAACGACTTTCATAGGAATAGGAGGAGGCCATTCAGCCCTTGGAGCCTGTTCCACCATTTAATTAGATTACGGCTGATCTGTACCTCAACTAATCCTTTCAATTCCAATTTCTCGCTTTCTCCCCATATCCCTTAATATCCTGACCTACCAACAATCATCAACCTCACTCTTGAAGGTGTGGATGGATACAGAATCCACAGCCTTTTGGGGGAGAGAATTCCAGATTTCTCCCCTCCTTTGAGTGAAAAAATGCTTCTGATTTCACTCTTAAATGGTCTGGTTCCAATTTTAAGACGGTCCCCCCCCCTTGTTTTGGATTCCCCACCAGAGGAAATAGCTTCTCTATCCACCCGATCAAATACCTTTATCATCTTAAACACCTCAATCAAATCACCCCTCAGCCTTCTAAACTCAAGGGAACACAATCCAAGTTTACGCAGCCTTTCCTCGTAGCTTAACCCTTTCAGACCTGGTAACATTTTCATGTCGAGAGGACGCCTCAAGGCGCAGGACAGTCAGGGATTTGGACCCGAGCTGCGGGTTGGGATCGGGGAGGGGTGGAGGGCAGAGTCGGGGGATAAGGGGTAGGAGGGTGGTCGAAGGCACGGTCGAAGAGGAAGGTTTTTGAGATGTGCCTTGAAGGAGGCAAAGGAGGGAGTGGGGCGGAGGGAATGTGGGATGGAGTTCCACAGGGTGTAAACACTGGGGGAGCTTTATTGTACAAGGAAAAGGTTTATTTCGTAACCAAAGGCTTTTTTGAAAACAATGATTGGTATAAATACCGGGGGGGGGGGGGGGGGGGGTAAGCACTGCTAGTAACATGAGTATCAACTGTTTACATGAAATAAAACCATAAGTGGCTGGGAACCATGAGTATCTGACCTGCTGAGTGTTCCCAGCCACTTCTGGTTTTATTTCAGATTTCCAGCGTCTGCAGTATTTTGATGTGACGTATGTGATGATCCAGGAGACCCAGGTTTACTCGTTGCTCTGTCCTCAGTTAATTCATCTCAAATGGGAGACAATTGTGGGGCTGCAGTTGTGGGTTTGGTCCCTTGTGCCCCTCAGTCAGCTTGACGGAAAATGTGACTGAAAGTGGATCAGGCTGGATTTTGACCCCTCTCTCTCGTCCCCTCTCACCATCCACCCACCCACCCACCCACCCCAGCCACCAAAATACCTTGTACAGGGTGACCAAAAACTTGTGATAACTACTCTGTTATCTAAAAATATATATATATATCATTATTTCACCCACAAAATGTACAGTCAATTCACTTTACAGTGTATCCTATGAAGCGCTTTGAGACATCTCGAAGACGTGATAAGACACTGTATCAAATGCAAGGATTATTATTATTTCTTTAAGATTTATTAGACATTATAATGGTATCTTGATGCTTCGTTCCCTCTGCGCCTGTCACTGTCTGACCCTCCAGCCCACAATGAACAGTGACACTGATGTTATTAGGAGAAGCTGTTCTGTTGTCCCAGGAACAGTAAGGAGTGAGTTCAGAGGAGGAACGAAATGGAACAGGTTCTGGGGAACTTTTCCCCAAAAAAACTTTATTGTGTATTTGGGGCAAACATTCATTTCTGCTTTGCCAAAAAACTGCAGCATATTTAACACCACGAGTTACATAGCAAATACAGAGACTGGGGGTATAAACCCCTCACACACACACAGACTTCTCCAATGAGACTGAATAACATTGACAAACTCCTTGTATCCACCTCTGTGTCCATCAGTAGCGTTGATGTTTTCCCAGTGTCTAAACACCGGTTACTTTACTGTGTGCATTTAGATACCACACCAAGTGATGTGATGAATCAGTTGGTAATATTGGAAAGGGGGGAAAAAAATCTTAACGTAACAGACTCACCTGAACAGCAGCTCTGTGTAATTAGGGAGAGGGTGAAGAAAGTTGGGAATAACGCTGAGACGCTCCTCATGTTCCTGCCGGAAGGTTGAGATCCTGATGACAATTCCCTGTAGGACCAGAGACCAGAGAGAGAGAGAGAGAGAGAGAGGGGGAATCCTCACTCTCTCACCCACTCTCTCACTCTCTCCCTCTTTTGATTAAAAGACAAGAGATTATGTAATTGGATAAAGCGGAACTCCGTCAGAGCAGAGAAACCACAAGTGAGAAACCCGGAGTGAGCGGCACAGCGCCGCTCTCTCTCTCTCTCTCTCTCTGGGGATCCGACTTCAAATATTCATCATCGGAACTGGTCCCTGAACCCCCACTGCGGCACAACGGACACAGAGGGCCATCTCCATCACCTGCCCCTGACCACACCCACTCACACCCACTCACACCCACTCACACCCACTCACTCACACCCACTCACACCCACTCACACCCACTCACACTCACCCACTCACACCCACTCACACTCACCCACTCACACTCACCCACTCACACTCACTCACACTCACCCACTCACACCCACTCACACTCACCCACTCACACCCACTCACACTCACCCACTCACACTCACCCACTCACACCCACTCACTCACACTCACACTCACCCACTCACACACCCACTCACACTCACCCACTCACTCACTCACACCCACTCACACTCACCCACTCACTCACTCACACCCACTCACACCCACTCACACCCACCCACTCACACTCACCCACTCACACTCACCCACTCACACCCACTCACACCCACTCACACCCACCCACTCACACTCACCCACTCACACTCACCCACTCACACCCACTCACACCCACTCACTCACACTCACCCACCCACTCACACCCACTCACACCCACCCACTCACACCCTCTCACACCCACCCACTCACACCCACTCACACCCACTCACACTCACCCACTCACACCCACTCACTCACACTCACCCACTCACACTCACCCACTCACACCCACTCACACTCACCCACTCACTCACACCCACTCACACTCACCCACTCACACCCACTCACACTCACCCACTCACACCCACTCACTCACACCCACTCACACTCACCCACTCACACTCACCCACTCACACTCACCCACTCACACTCACCCACTCACACTCACCCACTCACACCCACTCACACTCACCCACTCACACTCACCCACTCACACTCACTCACACTCACCCACTCACACCCACTCACACTCACCCACTCACACTCACCCACTCACACTCACCCACTCACACCCACTCACACCCACTCACACCCACTCACACTCACCCACTCACACTCACCCACTCACACCCACTCACAATCACTCACACTCACCCACTCACACTCACCCACTCACACTCACCCACTCACACTCACCCACTCACACTCACCCACTCACACTCACCCACTCACACTCACCCGCTCACTCACACTCACCCACTCACACCCACTCACACTCACCCACTCACACTCACCCACTCACACCCACTCACCCACTCACACTCACTCACACTCACCCACTCACACTCACCCACACCCACTCACACCCACTCACACCCACCCACTCACACTCACCCACTCACACTCACACACACCCACTCACACTCACCCACTCACACCCACTCACACTCACCCACTCACACCCACTCACACCCACTCACACCCACTCACACTCACCCACTCACACTCACCCACTCACACCCACTCACACCCACTCACTCACACCCACTCACACCCACTCACACCCACTCACCCACTCATACCCACTCACACTCACCCACTCACACCCACTCACACCCACTCACCCACTCACACCCACTCACACTCACACCCACTCACACCCACTCACACTCACCCACTCACACCCACCCACTCACACCCACTCACACCCACTCACACCCACTCACACTCACCCACTCACACCCACTCACACCCACCCACTCACACTCACCCACTCACACTCACACACACCCACTCACACTCACTCACACTCACCCTCTCACACTCACCCACTCACACCCACTCACACTCACCCACTCACACTCACCCACTCACACCCACTCACACCCACTCACACCCACCCACTCACACTCACCCACTCACACCCACTCACACTCACCCACTCACACCCACTCACACCCACTCACACTCACCCACTCACACTCACACACACCCACTCACTCACACACACCCACTCACACCCACTCACACACACCCACTCACACTCACCCACTCACACCCACTCACACTCACCCACTCACACCCACTCACACTCACCCACTCACACTCACACACACCACTCACACCCACTCACACTCACCCACTCACACTCACCCACTCACACCCACTCACACCCACTCACTCACACCCACTCACACCCACTCACACCAACTCACCCACTCACACCCACTCACACTCACCCACTCACACCCACTCACACCCACTCACCCACTCACACCCACTCACACTCACACCCACTCACACCCACTCACACTCACCCACTCACACCCACCCACTCACACCACTCACACCCACTCACACCCACTCACACTCACCCACTCACACTCACCCACTCACACCCACTCACACTCACCCACTCACACTCACCCACTCACACCCACTCACACCCACTCACACTCACCCACTCACACTCACTCACACCCACTCACTCACACCCACTCACACCCACTCACACTCACCCACTCACACTCACCCACTCACACCCACTCACACCCACTCACTCACACCCACTCACACCCACTCACTCACACCCACCCACTCACACCCACTCACACCCACCCACTCACACCCACCCACTCACACTCACCCACTCACACCCACTCACACTCACCCACTCACACCCACCCACTCACACTCACCCACTCACACCCACTCACACTCACCCACTCACACCCACTCACACCCACCCACTCACACTCACCCACTCACACTCACACACACCACTCACACTCACTCACACTCACCCTCTCACACTCACCCACTCACACCCACTCACACTCACCCACTCACACCCACTCACACCCACCCACTCACACTCACCCACTCACACTCACACACACCCACTCACTCACACACACCCACTCACACCCACTCACACACACCCACTCACACTCACCCACTCACACCCACTCACACTCACCCACTCACACCCACTCACACTCACCCACTCACACTCACCCACTCACACTCACACACACCCACTCACACTCACCCACTCACACTCACCCACTCACACTCACCCACTCACACACACCCACTCACACTCACTCACCCACTCACACCCACTCACACTCACCCACTCACACTCACCCACTCACACTCACACACACCCACTCACACTCACTCACCCACTCACACCCACTCACACCCACTCACTCACACACACCCACTCACACCCACTCACACTCACCCACTCACACCCACTCACACTCACCCACTCACACCCACTCACACCCACTCACTCACACCCACCCACTCACACTCACCCACTCACACTCACCCACTCACACTCACCCACTCACACCCACTCACACCCACTCACACTCACCCACTCACACCACTCACACACACCCACTCACACCCACTCACACTCACCCACTCACCACTCACTCACACCCACTCACACACACCCACTCACACCCACTCACCCACTCACACCCACTCACACTCACCCACTCACACTCACCCACTCACACCCACTCACACTCACCCACTCACACTCACTCACCCACTCACACCCACTCACACTCACCCACTCACACTCACCCACTCACACCCACTCACACTCACCCACTCACACCCACTCACACACACCCACTCACACCCACCCACTCACACTCACCCACTCACACTCACCCACTCACACTCACACACACCCACTCACACTCACTCACCCACTCACCCACTCACACCCACTCACACTCACCCACTCACACCCACTCACACACACCCACTCACACCCACTCACACTCACCCACTCACACTCACACTCACCCACTCACACTCACACTCACACCCACTCACACCCACTCACACTCACTCACTCACACACACCCACTCACACACACTCACACTCACTCACACTCACTCACACACACACTCACTCACACACTCACTCACTCACACTCACACACACTCACTCACACTCACACTCACTCACACTCACACCCACTCACACTCACACACACTCACACACACTCACACACACTCACCCACTCACACTCACTCACACACCCACTCACACTCACACACACACACACACTCACACACACTCACACACACTCACACTCACACACACTCACTCACACACACTCACACTCACTCTCACACACACTCACTCACTCACACTCACTCACTCACACTCACACACTCACACACACTCACACTCACTCACACACACTCACACACACTCACACACTCACACACACTCACACACACTCACTCACACTCACTCACTCACACTCACACCCACTCACACTCACTCACACCCACTCACACACACTCACACTCACTCACTCACACTCACTCACACCCACTCACACTCACTCACACTCACTCACACCCACTCACACACTCCACTCACTCACTCACACCCACTCACACACACTCACACATTCACTCACACACTCACTCACACACTCACACACTCACTCACTCACTCACTCACACTCACTCTCACCCCTCTGACACAGCAGATTTGGGGGTTTAACTCACAGAGACCGGCAGTCCAGAGCAGTGCTGAGTGGACACAGCATTTTAGGTGACATCCTTCTGATGAGACGTTACACCGAGGTCCCATCTACCTGTTCCGGTGGACATTATAAATCCAATGGGTTCATTGGAAAAGAGAAGGGAGTTTCTTTCTCCTGTTGCCTCGGCCGATAGTCCCTCAGATACAATTGGACATTCACTTCAATGCTGTTTGTTGGACATTGGCTGCATTTCACCTACAAAGCTCACGTGGTAAATCACAGTAAATCCTGTGAAGTGCTTTGAGACGTCCTCCAAGTGTGAAAGGTGGTGTATCAAACACATAGATTAGCATTGCCCCAACAATCTTTAAGAAGTTTTCCCAAAGCCTATTTGCTTTTTTTAA